TGGGACAGGCTTTGATGACCTCCAGTAGAGGGGTGTGAGGGCTGGTTTTCACCCCCTCCAGGGTGAGAGAGACTAGGGATGAGCCTGTAACTTGCAAGGCAGGAAGGAGATCTACCAGTGGGCCTAGGAAATGTACTGAAAGGCTCTGTAGCTGGCCTGACCAGGTCTGGAGGCCCGCAGCCAACACGGACCCCTGGCCTCTTCCTCTAGTATCTTCATCATCATCAACTTTCACAGATATGGAGTAGATGTCTGGACATAAATGGCCTACACTGTCCAGGAAGTCACAGGTTAAGCCACTGACATCCTTTAGACGCAGGATCAGGTGTTCATCACTTGACTGTGACAAAACTCCCCCTCCCTTTTTTTTCTCTGCTTGGTTCAGAGACACACTGGGCCCTTCATCTCTATTTGAATCTTCCTCACACTCACCATCATACCCTTCCCACAATATCCTCTCCTCCTCCTCCCCCTCCTCCTCCTCCTCCTCCTCCTCTTCATCCTCATGTTCCTCATCCACTGCTGCTGCTCCTTCTCTCTTCCTCCTATCCATGCTCTGCCTGTGTCTCCACTCCCTCCACACCTGATTCAACCTTGGTATTCCTTCTCTCTCAGTGAACTCGTCTGTCTGGCTAAACTTTCTGTGCTCAATGAGACACCAGGCCTGCGTAAGGCCCTCCATGGCCACTCTCTCCAGGTCAGGCAGGGAGAGGAGTAGGTAGGCTGCTGCCGCCACACGGTCTCCCTCTTGTTCCCCAAACCCAATATCCAGAGCTAGTAGACTGCGGAGGGGGAGAGGAGACAGGGGTGCAGAAAAGGAGGAGGAGGGGTCAGAGGAGAAAGAGGAAATAGGAGACTGAGATGTAGAGGTGCAGTGAAAAGATGAGCTAGCAGAGGATGAACAGAAATCCCCACCTCCAAGAGGAAGTAGTGCAGCAGGGGAAAGGAAATGACAGCGGGATACATCTAGATGGCGCAGGAAACAGCAGCGTTGGGCAATCGTCCTGATCACACATCCGTCACAATGCATCCCAGCCAGTGAGAGCGAGCGGAGGGCAGGTAGACAGCAGATAGTTTGAGATAGGACTTTTGAAGGCAGCTGCTGGGCTCCAGATAGATCCAGACTCCACAGACCCTGAGACAAAAAGGAAGTAATATAAAGGCATGCCAGACACAAGACATCAGACTATTTCTCCTACCTTCATCAAATCTATAAATAGTGTCAACTACTTGTTTACTTTCCAATGTAGTAGTTTGGGAGCTATGGGGTTTTTTTCTGTATAGCCTACTATAACAAGAAATGATATTTTAGAAAAACAAAAAGCTTTTAAGCTCTGAAAGTATATAGCCTAGATACACACACATAGTATGCTAAATGTTTAAAATAGGAAGGATGCATCTAAGATGTGGGTTATGCAAGTGGAGCCCCACTCAACATCAGGAAAATAAAACACTGACAAGATTTAAATCACGAAGTCCACAAAATAAGAGACTGAAAATGTTTCTCTTTTTGAATAAGACACGCTGATCCAGTGTATGTGCAGCTGAACACAACACTGGTTTTGAAATGCAAACACTAGAGGAAAGAGGCAAGGACACAGTATTTCTATCTGACCTGACAACGTGCAGCAATGTGGCCACAGAGGGCGGATGTGACCAGACCAGGACACCTATCCAGAGACAGACCACGGAGCTGGGGGACCAGCAGGAGGTGGAGGGCCGCCCGGGACAATTGCTTTCTGGTGCACAGCATCCCAGTGAGCTCCTCGACCAGCCTACCTGCTACAGGGAGGGTAGAAAAAACAAAAGAGAGAAGGGGAGTAGCAGGATTAGAAGTGATCAATCACTCTGTAAATCACTTACTCTGTAGACAGAGGGAAGCTGTAAAAGCCACATGAGGAAGTCTGAAGCCCTTCATAACCGTTTTCATAACTGACTCACTTTGCATTATAGTAAAAATGTCTAATTTCTCCTTATAGGCATATTTTAGTTTTCATTTATATCTTCAGCATTTTGCTGATGTAGTGAATCAGTGTATGACAGTTGCAAAAGTTCAAATAGTTAATGAACAAGTAATCTCTAAGAGAGGGACAAAATATGTGATCACTGACTTATGACACAGTCACTTAAACTATTTACAATCACACCCATGTGCTGCCGTCCCAAAGCGGGAGCAGGCAGGTCAATTTTTCCGTTAAGTACCCACAAACTCACGCAGTAAGCTGAAAGGCCCCATTATGTGCCTGAAGGAATACTGATCCAGGTAGTTGTCAGCATAGTCTTTCACCCACACTTCCTTCATGTTGTCAGCAAGGCTAAGCAGACACAGCCGTGTCAACGAAGGGATAGAGCCATCTTCATCTGTCTTCCTGCAGCTCCCCATCCACTTCTTCACCCTTGTCCACCCGGCCCGGGGCTTCGACTGACGACCTTCACCCAAGGCCCGGAACAGTGGCATAGCAGGACAGCGGTCGCTGGCTGCAGTGATGAGGAGGATGCTGGATGTGTGAGATGTGGAGGCTTCTCCCTGCTGCTCATGGGAAATGATGATATGATTAACAGGACAGATATATACTGGAATCAGATAAACTATTATTTACTACTTGATTATTATTTACTTACCAATATTATTCATTTATTTTCACAGCTATATTACTTTATTGTTTTGTATTTGTTACATTTAACAAGAGAGGCCTACACAAGACTGCGAGACACGAGAATGTGTAGTTACCCTGACTCAACTATAGGTTACTGTACACTGATTAGGCTACTGTTAATGCCAATATTTACTTAATTGATATACAGTATACTGACATGGAGAGGGAATTTCTTGTAATAACCTACGGAAGAATTTCTGTTGCATTGACACCTACCTGGCGGCTGTAATAGTGCTGGAAGTCTTTAGATATCCAAAGAGAAAGTCGACAGGGCTATACAGTAAAAGAAAATTTCCGCAGCCTTTGCTAAAACTTTCGTGACACACAACAGCACTTCCTGACTTTAGGTTCTTGGGACAGTTCAGCCCTGAGTCTAGTCTCACAAGAACAACTTCCTCTCAGGCTGTGCACACTGCTGCGAATCACTCACGGAATAGCCTTGAACTCCAACCGAGGTCTGAATCCTAAATCAACCACATATAATCAGTCTGTGCATATTGTCAATGTGAGTGGTGACGCGGCAGTGCACAGCCTGAGTGATAATGTCCTCCTGAAAGACCAAATTGAGGGCAATTAGGCGGTGGTCAAATTAAGCTATGTTCAAGGCCGATCAGCAGTTTCAAAGTTTCGGATTGTCTGACCGAATCACACTCGTGCTGATATTCAGTACAACATCATTCCCTCTCGTGTGATATTGCTTTTATACAACAGTTCTACGAGCGCCATATTAGTTGAATATACTACAACGGATTGGGAATAGTTTGTTTATTTCATCATTTATTTTGCTACGCCAACACAAATAGTTCCGCTACTGGACTGGTACTGGGCTGTTGCTTAGCAACACATAAACATTTTCCTGACCTGTACAGTGCACACTAGCTTGCTACTTTGTCTACATGTTACCTCAGGTGTGCGCCGAAGTATCCAGTTCTTCCCTTCATGCTCTTATGCCGATCATACATCATTTAATTCAAATGTTATTTCTGGAAATATATTAATCTTTGCAAAGTTGGTTGCAATCATAACGGCCGTTAATGTAACGCTGATTAAGGGTTAATAGAATACCTGTGAAGCAGAGTGATATAGTTAAAAGTCCCAGTGCTGTTGTACTCTATATCAGCACTCATGGAATGCCTCTTTTCCAATCAAATTACGTCGGAACTAACTTATACCGTTGTATAAGTGTAAATAAAAGATAACATTCAAAAGTGAAAAATACAATTTTCAGTGATTAATAACTAAAAAGGTGCTTAATTAAATGTCAAATATATAGTCTACTTTTTCACTTACCTCCACCGGTATCAAATCATACTGGTAGTTTTGGTTTCATTTGGTTCATATGGTTTTAATGAAATCAAAAGCAGAAAATAACAGACTTGGTTACCAGAGGCAACACATAATTTCATATATAATGATCCTTACTGTATGATAGTATAGTACATCTGAAGTGCAGATTGTATATGTATACACTGCATGTGTATATTTATATGTAAACTATATATGACTGTCTTTATACACAGTCTATGATGTTATGGGTTATATTTTCAGAGAAATCGATATGTGTATTATTGAGTCCTCTAAGCAAACAAACACATGAAATGTTTTGTGTTGATGCTTAAATACCTGTAAATCATAACACTTGAAATGGAAATGGTAAATATCTGACTCACAGCGACACAGAGGAAAAAGACAATACATACACATAAAATTGTATTTTTCAAAAAAAAACAAAGAACAAAAAACAAAAACAAAAATCATAGAATAGTCTTCAATTTGCAAGAGATAGAAAGATGAAAGTGGGTGTGACCTTCACATTTTCTAGTTATTGCTTCTTTTTTTTTAATAATATTTTGACACTATGTTTGTCATGAGCTGTAAGTTTGGCCAATAGACAATTTTTTTACTGAAACTACACTCTCTAACCTGGTTGACTTTATATACTGTTTCTACTTTACTATTTCTAACCAATGAGAGGAGTACAGTAATTAGGATGGGGACAACTGATTGTACAGTACAGTACAGTGTCCCCCTCTAGTGGCTGTGACATGACCTCTTCGTCTCAGTGTATATGCGGTATTGGTCTACTTGAAGTGGAGCAGAGGACTTGCTGTCAGTAGGACATAACAATTGGCTTCTACATGTCTCTACCATTTCACCTTCTGAGCTGTCTGGCCCAGATGGTAAAAGTAGTCTATTATGGGAGCAGTACACTGCTCTGTTAGTGGGTTGGAAGGGTCAGTGGGCATTTTGTAACCTTTACCTTCATTCTAGGTTATGATCACTGATCAGTAGCTGCTGTGTAATTTACTGCAAATGAGACAAAAATGCAATAAAAAATTAAAACAGACTTGGTGGTTTTCTTTATTTCAAGCCCCATGATGTGACACGTCATCACATCTTAAACACATACAATTTGGTGTTATAGAGTGATGTGTTGTGATAAAAATGAACTATATTACAATAAAAAAGTAAGCTTATCTTAAATGCAACCATGTTTATTAAGACATACACATATTCAGCAATCAGTCCACGTAATTTCCCTTCATTTCCTTATTAAGATAACTTGACAATGGTGATATAAATACATAAGTATATTCCATTTTGGCAACAATTACAATCAAAAATCTCAGTAGTAAAACCATTTGATTTGGAATGGATGAGTAAATCTAAAGTTAATATACCAAAACTAGCAATTGATTCTGGTAATAAGGCACCAGGTCAGGATGTGGATTTTGAGGTGAATCAGATGCGAGTTAGTCCGGCCAAATGTTAATAAAATAAAATTCTCATTTCAATTCATACACAGAACAGACCACAATCTATCATGGGTTCCACAGTTTCACCAACCTGACTGCTGCAATCTGAAACATACTGTACTCTTCAAAAAAAAAAAAAAACCTCAAATAACACAATCATGTGATTGTGTTATTTTAAACACAGGACTGAATCCATTTGAATGGAGTGTACAGTGAAAGAATTGCATGAGTTGTGATTATAACTGAAGTCAATCTCAGTCATCCGAATATAAAACATTTTCTAGCTACACAAGCATGGAAATTGGATCATTCAGCAGCAACTGCTGGTGCATGAATATATTTTAGAGTGCAAAAATAATGAGCAATGTATACAGCTCTTAATAAGTCCCTCTTCCCTGTTTAAAAACCCAGTAATTAGCTCTAAGACTTTGGGAACAATATGAATTCAACCACAATTTTGTATGCCCCTCAGAGAACCTCATAAATAGCACATCACCTATTCTAACCTCTGGATTTAACACTCGAATATTTACCATGATACTTAATTTTCTTACTTATTTGTCTACAATGGTGCAGTGATCCAGCTAATGCAGCCATCAGTCAGTCTGTTGGCTCTGTGAATGGTACCACGTTCCTCCCGGCCACAAACACCTCCACTATGTTACGATCATCACCTGTAACAGAGGAAAAAACGGAGACACACATACAGGTAGTAGTGAGTGGCGAATGAGAGTCTGAAAAGTTTGAACAACTAAACTGAAATTGACACTCACCCAAATTTAAGAACTTTTCCAACAGAATCTGAAATTAAAATGAAGGTAAATTAGGATTACCCTAAAATTATTATTTTTTTTTGTTCATATTAATTTGTGTGTAAATGTGTTTATTTGCACACTGGTGGATTAAGACTGTGCACAACAACAAACCTTTGGGTCTTCATTCTGGATCAGGTCAATGGGTGCTCCAGGAGCAACTACATCCACCCTCAGGGCATCAAAGTCTTTGCCCACTTCAAAATTCCCTGTTTGGTCATCCAGGGACAAGGCTACAAACAAACATGTAGTGAAAGTAAGTGTTGTTTTCTCTGTCCTCCTGTAAAACTGCAATCAGTCATCGATAAACTTTCTTGTTTCCACAGCTACTGGTGTTTTGAAGGCATTGCAAGCATTTCTGCTGCAGCACTCTAATACTAAGTGACTTAGAGTGACTGGAGTGACTTAGAGTGGGCAAAGACCCTTCAGCATGAAAAATGACAAAGGGACCAAACACTTGATGTTTTTCATTGTATTCTCTACAACGTGCTAGTATAAGTCTGTTCCTGAGGGACAGCTGGGTTTGTGTCTTACCTTGGCTGCCTCCCAGTGTGGCCAGTCTGAACACCTCCTCAAAGGTGAGCGTGTCATGGTCTGGATCCTGGATGGTCAAGACTTTGGAAGTGTCCAAAGCTCTCCTCACTGCATCCAGCATAGAGGCTGAATAACCCCCCGCCACATCTGACCAGATAGGTCAAATGAATACAGGCATACACACAGACACAAGACACAAGCATTCAACTTGTATTGAGGATATAAAAAAACAGCGTGTCCATTTCAAATTTTTAGATTTTTTTCTGCTATTAGGCCTGAAATAGCTTTTAAATTGGATGTTGGTTTATTTTTACTTTGAAAAGGATGTTGAACCCAGATAAATAAAGTGATCAGCTGATGGTCAGCTGACCACTGTGTCAGACCTCTCAGCTGACTGACAGCTGTAGAACCAGATGATGCATCATAACAACGCAAAACAATCTCATTGCAACAACACACACTCACTTCTCTCCTTGCCCACAGCTCGCATGCATGCTTCTACGTACAGGGTGTTTTCCAAAACAAAGCCAAACATAATTTTACTACTCCTTTACAACGTAAAAAACTTTGTCAAAAGTGGTGTGGCCCTTGAATGTGTACACAGTTGTTCTGCTCCCACCTGTTCCCAGCCCCAACTTCACTTTGTGGTTCAGGACGTTGCGGATGTTTAACATTCCACTGCACAACCTGCGTAGATAGAGAGAGAGAGAGAGAGACATGACTATTACAGTGAAATAACTGTAAAAAAAAAAATAAAAAAAAAGTCATGCATTACTTTCCTGTCACCTGATAGATTTGAGGCTATTCATGGTATTTTCTTTTTCTGGTTTAAATTCAACAACTTTTTTTTTCAGCTCATGGATCAATAAAGTGCCATTTGTTGTATATCTTTTCATTCAGGCATTTATAATGATATGTTATGCTGTATTTTAAGTTCTATATCTTGAAATCTGTGTTATGCAAAGCATCATGTGTCTTGGTCCCATAAAGTCTTGTGAAACTATCAAAGACTTACGAGATGTTGGAATTGGGGCAGTGAGACAAAGAGGCTCCTGTCTCTCTGAACAGATCCAACTCTTTATCACTGAGGTAGCACCCGTGGGCCATCACAGTCTGTGAATCATCCCGATTATAAAATCAACCATGGTCAGCATTTATATCAGCACTCATATTTTTTTTTTTTGCAGAAATGTCTCAGCTGTGTGTGCGCAGGCAGGGATGGGATTGTGTACTCACCTTGTCAGTGAGCAGGTTGTATTTGTGATAGACGTCTGTGTAAGACTCTGATTCAGGAAACAGCTCCTTTACAAGCTTCACTTCCTCAGTGTTTTCACTGATATGACTCTGGAAATGAGGACACAAATGTCAAACGAACTGTGTCTTCAAGAGAAGCATTTACGGTAGATAGAGCCTGACGAGTGGCTATTCTGCATTGCTTACACTTACGTTCTTCATTCTTCCATGTCAGCATGTTTGTGTGAATGTGTGTGTATTTATCTAATTGTTCAAAACCCCTACAGGTCCAACACTAAAAGGTCTCTATGACAACAGTCCCTCGTGGACATAGCCTGGTTTGGTTGCCACAGTGAGCTCACCTGAATGTGCAGGTGGTTATTCTTGGCAATTGCTCCGAGTTGTCCCAGCAAGGCTCCCGTGCAGGATGGAGCGAAGCGGGGAGTCACAACTGGCTTCACTAGGGGGTACTGCCCCGAAAAAACCCCCAAAAAAAACGAAAACAGAGGAGACAGGGAAGTAACAGAAGATGAAAACCTGTGATTTTTTCTTACTTCCTTGAATTGTCCTTACTGTATTATATAATCTTACCTTTTTGTTTAAGAGCTCTGCAATGAACCTTAAGGGAGCAAAAGAATGATTGTGATTCATTTGGGGCACTTTATAGTTTTATCAAAAAAAAGGTCGGCGAGGCAAATATTACTTCAGAATCAGGTGCACATTCTCTGTGTTTGTATATGTGTATTTCAAAGGTAATACCGTAATGGTAAAAAAGGAATTTACACGTCAAGCATGCAATTAAAAAAAACTGCCTTATTATTTCTCAAACAATCTGAAGCTACAAGAGTTGTGTTGACATGTTCCTCACTCAGAGGGACATAACGAATTCCCCCAAGATTGTCTCCTTACATCATAATGCTTACATCACAGCTTTTTATCCATGACACAGTCCATGTCTGTAGCTCTGTAGCTGTCTATAACATGCACAATGCTTTGCGCCCTAAAACTGAAAACTGCCTCTTTTCGAATAAACACTCAATAAATTCAGTGTAACTAAAGTCATTGCTCCAGGGAATTTCTCCACACTGAAAATGTATTTAAGAATCTGCCTGCTCTGACTTGAGTGAAATAAATATTGAATGAACCAAGATCAGTGTTAAATAAAAGTTGCAATTTTTGAAAAGACATCCTTTTATACTGTTTGACCCTGTTGAAGACACTGTTGGTAGTGTATAGCTAGAGCCTGCAAATGCACAAAGGAGTTCCAGCACATTAGCTCTGCTCTATAATGTATGGAACAGATGATACTCACCGACAGGTTTCCTCTTGAGACTCCTGACTGGTCTCTTTGTAATGCTTCACAGAGTTGTTCCTGTCCATACACACCTTACCCACCAAGGCACGCTGTCCAAAGTCATCTGCAAGAAAAATACAGATGACCGAGCTCACACCAGATTCATTACTACTGGGCAATATATTTCACCTTTATTTACATGGCACACTGTGAGCATAGAAATATAACACTATGCACTTCACATCAACACCATGATAACATGATGATTAAATGTGAAAAAGGCATCTGAGAGATGTTTGATATTAACAAGTTCCCATTGACATCATTCCATACTGAGTTCACAGTGCCCAATTGTTAAAGTCGCACCTTATCAACGGTCTTAACATCATCTGCATTTGTGTCAGTTTGCCCTTCGCGTGTCAGAGGCAAATCCTGCTGTCACTCACAAGCCCTAATCCCACTAATCTTGTATGAACGCAAACACATACTGTACATACTATAGTTAAATTACCTGTAATTACATATCAGCAAGTGTGCACAACCTCTCAGCACAAACACATGCGCATAAAAAGCTGTCACTCAATTAAAAATGATCATCCCAGCACAATCTTTCAGCCGCTGTGTTTTGCTCTGTGTCCTTATATGAGACCTTATTAAAAGAGTCCTTTTTGCCTTGTGTGTGCGTATGTCAGAGTAGAAAAACCAGAACATTGATATAATCACGTTTATCTCTGACTAACCCAACTGCTCACTAGTTCATAATGTGTGACATACTGTACAAATCAATTCATATTCATGTTTCACCAAAGTTAGGGCAGGGAAAATGTGTGTGTTGTATGAATATGGACAGGGTGCTACAGCTATGCAAACAACAGCTCATTATGACAGTAATCTGCAGGGGGAAAAAATCACAAAACGTTGTCACCAGATCACAATCCCATACAGCATGGCCGGTTTACATTTAAAAGCATATCAGCTCAGTCCTCTTCTCTGTCTCTACAGATCAGATACAGTGCACACAGCAGACATAGAAACTGACCAGAGCTAAGTTCAAGAATTGTCAATGAGTTTGTTGTAATTTAACACACAGAGGTTCTGCATGCATACATGGGTGTTTTTCAGTTTTAACAGGTGCAACAAAGCAGGAAAGTTGTTGAGATGTAAATGAAGCACCGTGGTTTGATCCACAGCAGTTTGCATACAAGAAGGTCCACCACATTGGCGAGCTTACCAAATGGTGTGAAGACAGTGCTCTGGTTATTAATGAAAATAAGACAAAGAGCTGTTTATTGGGAGACACTGCAGCGCCTGCCATTTTTTTTTAACCTGTTCTGTGAAATTAGTAAAATTATTGGGAGAGAGCAGAAACAACTGTAATGTCTATACAGAGTGGAGGTGAAACAGAAAGTTCGACTGCATCTGATCCTGTTCATCCCCTTTTTAGAGAATTCACAAAACTGCCCTCAGGAAGATGCTATACAGCGGCTACCGCAGCAGGAGCATTAAGATGGCGACAGCAGTTGAACGGGAACTACATGATGCTTCAGAAGTTAATAAGAAATAATACATGTTTTTTACAGAGGGAGGTTTGTTGTGTCACACAGCAGCTGGAACAGATAACATTAATGATGGCTCTGATCTGTGATACCCTATTAAGCCCTGTTGGGACAGCTAAATGGAGTACAGCCTTAACTAATGTTTTTAGTCAAACCTGTTTTTTTCACAGCTGTGAAAAACTGTCACTGTGAAAAAAAGGTCAATGTCCCAGTGGAACATTTCTGGCACAATGTTGAATCCACAGCAATGATGCATTGCTTGTACCAAGAAAAACATGCTGGGTTAAACACAAATGATCTTACTGAATGCTGAGAAGGTCGTTTGACAGAAGCATTGAGTTAATGTTACCCAAACACTGGGTTATTCTTTATCTTTTTCCATTAACATCAGTGTTTCGGTTGACATGGACAGTGTTAAGAAAAAGTTTCACCTGGGCTTTTCCTGAACCATGACAAATACCATGAAAAAGGTCTATAGGCCAAAATGACTGAATTCACATGTGGGTGTGCAAGTAGACTGGGAAAGTACCAATAAATGAAGATACCTCTAAGTACATAGGTGCAGTTACATGGCCGATGTTAATCATTGGTAATTTTGTTGACATTTATAATGTTGATTAGTCATGTTCATATTCAATTACATATCAGATTTAAAATTTGAAAACTTCACTGCACCAATGGTATGTGGTTGGGAGAGGGGGGCATGTGAGGTGTGACGCCCACCCATGTTATGTATAGTAACAAGGCTCTGCTTCAACAAGTTGCAGATGATCAGCAGGCCACTCAGGGATTGTGAGAGAGCTTTGTGCTACTGTGACCAAACACTCCAAGTCAGGCAGAAAATGTGCATTTATATCAGATTTCACTGGGACCTTGAACTTGGGACTGTTCAAGATTCTTTCCTGAGAAAATATCTTTATATATATCTTTATAATACTATATCTTATATGTATCACTACATCTCTGAAATGAATACATTAATAAATTAAACACACACAAGAATAAGTGAAGCATGAATTGGTAGTACTCAAACATATGTACATACACACACATATGCTTACGTTGAACAACAACAATTTTCTGAAAAAGAGAACAACTGCTCAGAACAGGACAAAGGTAAGGGTTCAATGAACTTGATGTGCAATCAAGTTCAAATGACTATGTGAAATGCCAGTGCTCAACTGAGTATGGTTGTATCACTACACATTTTGTGTGTGTGTGTGTGTGTGTGTGTGTGTGTGTGTGTGTGTGTGTGTGTGTGTGTGTGTGTGTGTGTGTGTGTGTGTGTGTGTGTGTACATGTTCAGTATTGTGTAACATGACATGAAGATGATAAGGAAAAGGCGTAAAGGTGAACACAGTAACTGTGTGTCTAACACAGAGTCCACAACATTACCATCACTGATTGCAAGTTTAACTTGATATTTCAATTACTGGGATTAATCCGATGGCTTTAGGTCTTTTATTGTGTTCTTCAAGACGTTTAAACAAAGCGTATGGATCCATTATCACATTTGGAGCCCCTGCTTTGGCTATTACAGCGATGATACAGTTTGAATATGTCTGAGTATGTTCTGACTTAACATGTACTGCTGAAACACTCGCTTCATTACCGACATGTCTAGAATTTTATGTAGCTGTGTTAACAGGTTTACATTGCTAATATTTTCTTTAGCAATAGACACCACATTTAACATTTGTGGCAGGGCCTTCAGTCACCTCCAACCCTCAGATTTGACAAAATATACATACATAACCTACATATATGAACTTGCAACCTGACAACAACCCACAGGTCACCTACTGGTCTAAGGTGATCATTTGAAGCTATGGGCTAGAGAATTAATTGTGTCATGGCTGATACCAGAAGCATTTGACTGAAATAGTCTGAGAACATGACGCACTTCAGTCTCTAATTCCAGTCCACAGTCCACATTATAGATAGAAAACACTGAAGAGGGCCAGTGGTTAAAAATGAAAAAGATTTAGGTCAAAATGTGAGTGTGGTGCATCTGTTAAGTGTTGTACATCTTACTTGCAATCTGGCCCAACAGGAGAGATGCATCTGTATGTATTGTAGCAAAGTAACATGCAGTTGTTGTTCCGTTTCTCAGGGTTCTTTTCTGCAAAGCACAAGGATCGTATTACAGGATTAAGCCAACTGCATTTTTTCTCTTTTCTAAATGTTGTTAAACCACTGAACTGTTCACACCCATCTCAAACATTGGCTTTAGGGATTATGTAGGTGTGACACAGGCATTTAATTTTCCACTTTTCCTATTGATTGCAGGGCAGATAGTAATTCTATTGCCAATAATATAAACATATCAAAAATATTACACTTGCACTGTGCCACAGGACTTTGGAGAGTCAAGACACAGTGACTGATGTAACTGTACTGACTTTGATATCCACTTATTTTCTGATGCCAGTAAACTCACCACTACATGAGTGTAGACCCTTTTGGCAAACTCCAAATCTTTGAAGCGAGATTCTACAGGAAAGGTGTAGGTATTGAGCCACTGCAGTAAGGGCATGTCCAAGGCGGTGCCAGCGTAGCTGTACTGGGATGCGTGAATGTGGGTGTCCACCATTCCTGGCATGAAGAACTCACTGCAGTGGAGCAAGCATCAAAAGTGTTTTATATATATGATTTTTATGGTGTATACAATAAATGACCTTCATATGATGCAATGATACATGCCTATCTTTTATATTTAAGTGATGTAACAAAAATAATATACATTACATTACTGTCTTCTTTCAACCGACTTCAAAGACAGTGTTACTCTCTCACTCATTGAAGTCACTTCCTTTCAATTAAGTCCTGTAAACTACAATTGCACATTGCTGCAACCCAGTAATTCATTTTCATATTTTACTTACTATTGTTTCAGTTGAGTGACTGCAGACGGACTGAATCCAAATGTCTGAGACAGTTTGTCTAGCTCCTTGCCTTTTCCAATAAAAGCAATCTGAAGGTAGAATGGAAATCAACCAAGAGTTAATGGAGTAAAACATGATTACAAAAAAGTGATTGCATGTACTGAAGACTGTGAGGGCTGGAAACATGCGTTTTTTACCCCCGAGCACCATGTGCTCAAGTGGAGGAAAACCTGAGGAACAAACTACAGTATTTAACATCTAGCTTCAACTCCTGTATAGACCATATATATACCTTATGTCATCCAGTAAACAGCAACTCGTTTGGTCTCTGATATCCAGGAGAATTAGAGAATTAGAGAATATGGGAGAGTCTATTTTTCTCTGAAGATTCAATGATGTTGCCTAAATTTTAATCCCACTTGTGTATTTGATTGATGTCATTAATGTTTTTATGTTTGAGAGCTTAGTTTGGGCCAAATTGTTATAGTTGCACAGCAACAGCACTGTAGGAGACACTTAATGTAGGTAAGAGATTTATATTTGGAAAACGCAGACGTCTGTCCAGGTTGTTTGTGAATGTTCTCATTCGTCCAGGTCATAGTAATCTCTCTCTTAAATTAAATCGAAGGCAACTGGACTTGTATTTGTCTGTGGAAGACGTTTCGCCTCTTATCCAAGCGGCTTCATCAGTTCATCATGTATTGGTCTCTCTAGTCCGCACTAGTCTGACCAAGAATTTTCAGGTTGAATTTTGTCTTTTAGCGCAAGGTTTAGAGTAGCCACAGTGAGCTATAGCCTAGATATTTATCATTTTATATTGTAGATAACAAGCCATATGCCGAAGGATGAGCCCATGGTTTTGTTTTCAAAACTAAAAATAATAAAGTTTTTTTTCAAATACTTCCAACTCAGATCAACAGCTATTTAATATATTTTTAAGTTTGACTAACCTTTCCCTGTGTGTCCACTCCCAAGAGCGCATCTTCCAGGATCTGTACCGCCGTGGTTTGAGTCGAGTGGATAAATGTTCCCCTGTAGACGTCCGCGATTACGGTGGTGGGTCTGTCAGAGTTTGCCATCCTTTCACCTGATCAGTCCGAGTCGAGCAGTGAAGTACCTGCAGCAGCAACAGTGCAAAAAAGCTTTCTGTCCTCTGGAAGCTCCGATCACCACGACGCACGAGACGAGGACGCACGACTCCACCTGACTGCACACAGACAATCTGCAGCCAATAAGAAGATAGGGTGTCTGTGTATGTGTTTGTTGTCCTTTTTCTGATCATTGAATTATTTTGCTATAAATTTCACTGTTCACACAGTTCCCAAGATTAAGAGTGTTGGCTGAAGAAGACATTTTCTGTTTTGCCTTTGTTTAACAGCAGATATCCCATGGCCAGTGATGGGAAATCTACTTTGAAAGCATAACTTTAAAAGCTACCGATTACTTTACCCTAGAAAGTTGAGCAAAGCTACCCTATAGAGAAATCTAGTTTGGTCAACTGAAGCTATTAGAAAGGTAGTGCGAACTACTTTGTCAAATACATTTTAAAAAATACAAAATAATTGTCATAACAACAACAACAACAACAACAACAACAACAACAACAACAATAATAATAATAATGGGCTATAGGTTTTAACATAAACCAAAAAACTTCAATACCCCACTATTGAGTGGAAAGAGCAAGGAATGTCAGCTTTGGTTTTGTATACAATAATTGCTTAATGGCCATGGTGATGACATTTGGAAGGTTTAGCCATGATGACTTAGTCACTGCGTGAACTTTGAGCTACATCCATGGCTTTTGCAAATCTGAGCACTACAGAAGGTTTAAGTGACTGCCTGAAAAATGCATTGCCTGGATGTGCCTTCACTTTTTAAATCATTCTTTTCCTTTCATGGCCCAACTGTTTGTAGTTTCAGCAGACAAAAATGTCATTTAACTAACTTGAGTCACTGTGCATATGAATGTAACTGAACTACCATTAAGCTACTTTAAAATGTAGTTAAATCCCTGGAGATGTAGGCAGGAGTACCGGCACAGAAGCTGGTCAATGAAGGCCCCCAGCTGTGGATGGGGACAACAGACAAAAAACAACAAATTTTAGGCATTTAAAAAATGTCCATCTAAAAAAACAGTATTAGTACATTTTCTCAACCATTCCGTATTCCTACTTAAAATGCACTTAATTATGTTGTACATCAGCTGTTTGAGTTATACAGGGCTTTCCAATTCTGCTGCGTTAGTTAATGTAATGACAAGGAAATATTCATGACAAACATTATAGTGCAAAACATTTTTTTATTGTGAAATGAAATCCACATCAGTAGTTTTTTAAAGTCAAAGAATGAGGGTTGATGTCCTGGGCATTCTTAAGGCTAAAAGTAGCTCCTAACTTGCCGATTCAGAAGAAACTCCTAAAAATTCATCCAATTCATACGATTTCTTTTAGATGCTTAAACTACAGAGAAATAAAGCAGCTTTATGGCAATAGCCGGTCTTAACATCAATAGATAACATAACGGGATTACTTTTTAAAGTCTGCATTGTTCACTCTGAAATGTAAAAGTCGAATTGCGAACCTCGTGAGCTACCTTAGCCGGATTGCTAGCTGGCTGGTGGCTACAGATCAGCCTGTGGGCATTGTTAATAGCTATCTTGCTAAGCACGTCTAGCTAACAAACAAACCACCAAGTGGAAACCAGCCAATTTACAACATGCCTGATGTGTACTATATTTTTTCCAATTATTTATGTCCAATAACGTATGTCTGGAAACTTTTAAACACCCAGTGTCCAATAAAACACTGTCTCTGTCCACTAACAACTTATTGTTTTCTTCACTCATCATCATAAATATTGGTTGTTGTTATCTTGATAAACAATACTTCAGTTGGTATGACAATAACATATGATAATGTATAGTTTCTTAATAGCCTACTATTAAACTATGCTTTTAGTAAATCTCAGGCTTATAGGCCTACTATAGAGGATGAGAGCTCAGGAGTGATTCGGTGAGGGTCCCTGTCCTGGTCACACTGGTGTCTGTCTGGTTCAGAGGTTCGAGTGGACCTATGAGTTCTATAGTGAAGGAAAAAAAGAAAAAAGAAGAAAGAAAAAAATCCTGCTGGCCTCAACATTTGTTCCTTTAAATGATCAAACTGCATTTTGAGTAGTGGGCTGCAGAGAGAGAGAGAAGGCTCCACGTCGTACCCAACACCTTACCCTTAGCTGCTCTAAAATCACTGTAAACCACACACTCTTGGGACTTATTGCTTTGATATAGATAACTGTGCATATACCATCCATCTTTCAAGCGTGACAGCACACAATTATTATATTGCAAACACTACTATAAATTTCAGCAATCTTATGATGCCAGTCATACCCCCATTGCATACGTTGGGTGGTTACTTGCTCCTCTTTGTCATTGCAGTTTACATGTTTTGCATAGGTTATCATGGTGTCACTTTAGATCACTTCTTTTTAACAACAAGGGAATGATGAAGTGGTTATTACCAATAACAAGGCAATATTGGGGGTAAATAAAGAGATAATATCCAGGTAATGGAGTAGTGAGAATATTTTTTGCTCATATTGAGGTTTAATTTTGATAACTGGGTAGTAAGGAACAAAACATCTTAACGTAACAGTTTGGCAGAGCATATCAGTGATAGCATGGTAATAGTGTGATAACAATCAGTCGATTTACAGTGTAAAGGAGCACTAAAAAAGTAATGTAGAAGCTGAATTACCTTCACAACCACAAATTAAATTTCTCTTCCCTTAATGTCCCAAACATTCCTTCTTTTTTAAAGCTAACAAATACGTTTTTTAAACACAGAGATATACCTGGAAACAGAGTAGTTTATGTGTGTTAACCACTAATCACAGAAAATGACAATGAAAAACCATCAAAATTTCTCATTTTATTTTGTCACATTCAGATTAATGTTTATGCCGTTCATATGTTTCCACACCTATAATGAAGATGAACCCTGACTGACAGTTGGTGCTCATTACTGCAAACAATAACACCAGCACAGGGTGCTAGCCAATACATAAGATGTGGCTATTAAATGACACAATTCAGTAGCACCACAACAAACATTACACAATACAATCCTGATGAAGGTAAACTTTATTGCAGGGCTGTTGTATTAGACTGTATTAACTAAGTGTACCTAGTACACTGGTGACTGAGTATAAGTTTATTATTCATATGAAATTACTTAAACTGTTACTTATTATAGCAAATACAGTCAGCACTGGCTCCTCAGTTTCAAATCACCCAATGAGGAACTACAACTTGACATATTGCCACATCATTGCCAATATATCGACCCCACATGACAAATGACAACATACACTCATTTTAGATTAGTATGATTGCACTATTTCCATGTAACTATAGGTTATCCGGTGACAAAGTGAGGAAGTGTAAAAGGCAGCTAAAAAAAATGAAGAAAAATAAGAATTTGCGCAATTCAAAGATCTTTTTCCCCCCATAAAGGTTTGGTGAAAGATTTAGGATTACTGCTCTCTCCCCCCTATAGAAAAATCTCTCAGCTGCACAGCAATGAACATCCGTGTTAGGTTACAGATGGTGTGTGGCAATTTTTTGAACGTAATGGGAGTTGATCTTTAGTCTACCCTCATTTTGATAGATGGTGTGGAGTAAATATTAGAAACATCTCGAAGTGTTGCTCAGTCCAATTCATCAGCACCACAAACTGCACCTCTCTAAAAGAGTTTCAACAAAAACGAAGGTAAAATTTATTGCAGGGCTATTGTATTAGGCCCTATGTTGTTATCACTACAGATTTTGACTATCTTGTCATAACTGGAGATTTAAACATTCACATTGATGATCCCAAAGACAAAACTACAAAAGAATTCTGTAGTCCACACACAATAAAGGGCACACACTGGACAGGGCGTAGGCCTTTCTGACCATTCCTAATATTCCTGATATGCTGGTTTCTCCTGCCAGTTTCTGTCAGAATTGAACATACTATGTCTTTTTATAGAAGCTGTGTTTGTGTCAGGAAGTCAAACATATTCTGTTGGTTCACTCCTTGACAACTGTGACTGTACAATGGTAAAAACCATCTCTGGCAACCAGAAAGCACTGTGGAGAAATAACCGGGTTGTTACAAGGCAGAAAAGTGCAAATGGGGAAAAGGTCATCTTTGTTAGAGGTCTCATGTCTAATCAAGATTTAGGGAAATTCATACATGCACTCATCTCCAGCAGGGTGGACTATTACTGCTGCTATCTTATGAATCACTCGCAATATGGGGCCAAAATACATTTCTGATCTACGTGAAGAATATAAACCTCGCAGGGCTCTTAGATCTTTAAGAAGCAGGAACCAAACAGGGTGAAGCTGCTTTTGATTACTCTGCTACACACAAACAGACCACCAACACTAGGCACTTTCAAATCAATCCAATCTATCGATTAATTGGTTTCTCTGATGCACTTTTATTTCCATAACAACTTATCACTGTACTGCATCTTTGTCTATTTTTATTGTTTTCATCTTATGTATTTATTTTGTTTTAGCTACTTTGTAAATCTCATTTTATTCTCTTACTTGTTTTTATTGCTTGGTTGAATTGTTCTGAAAAGGGTTGTTTAAAGTACAACCATGTAAACTCTTTCTGAATCATCTGGGAGCTTAAGTCTACTCAACTACCTCGATGTTGACATTAATACAGCGTCGAAGCAGCAACATTAGTTTATTTGCATCGGTTAATTTGAGTGTGGTCACATCACAGACCTCATACTGTACACTGATTAGAAAACTTGTTTGGTATCGAAGTTAAAAAAAAAAAGAAAAGTCCATGATGAAGTCCTTGGTACAACAAAAACCCTCTCACTGTTTTTAGTCTTCGAGATTAACTTGGGACACATCTGGGAGCGCAGCAGATTTGTTCTGTGTTTTCTTTGGACCTGAGTCACTGTCAAAGTCTTCATCATCCTCATCTTCAAGGTCACCAAAGTCATCATCATCATCATCATCATAATCACTGTCCATGTCCTTCTTCTCTCGTCCACATCCTCTCTTTTTTTGTTTACCATCTTCCTCTGGCTCCTTGTTGTCCAGATGTGAGTTTACCCTACACAGCAACATAAAATCACAATGAGGCAGTGCTGTCATGTTTACTTGTAGTGTAACAGGAGCAAAGGGAAAAATCTCCCAAGCTTTGTTTTGAAAGTCATAATGTAACCAAAGAAGTAAATACAATGATACCTGGGAATTAACTGATGAGTAATTTTCAAGAAACAGTTGTAATGTATCCCATTGTCCACAAGATGGCAGTCTTGTGGTAGAATTTAATGCATGTGCTTGATGAAAAATACAAACTTTACAAATAAAATGTAATTTTATCCTGCCTCCAGATGAAGAACACACATACCAAATTCCTCACAGTGATTTAATTCATATACAGTGTGAGGACACGTGATATGGAGGGCTTCATTATGAGTCACTTATGGCAATGTGGGTATGGAATACATAGAACTGGTTACATTAGACAGAGATTGATTTCCTCAACAGTCAGCAGAAAAGTTGATAATTTATGTAAGGTGAGAACACAAAATGCCTTCATAATCAATAATGTGCAAACACAAACAAAGACACACACACACACTCTAGAATAATACAGGGGCACTCACGGAATAATGATGTCCTCTTTCTTCCCACACTTACAGCAGATCTCTAGCTGAAGAGAACAGGGCTTACAAATGATGTGATATGCGTCCTTCACAGTCTTTTGAGAGCATTTGACACTGAAAGACGAAAACATAAACACACAAATGTCATCAATTTTCACACTGGAGCCAAATATACACCAGACTTTCTAAAGTTGAGGTTTGCCATGTGAGCAGGACATATTTGGACATCTGCAGAAAAGTTTTCCTGAGAATTTAAGTTGCCACCTGGTTTGCTACAAGTATGTATGTGACGGACAAATTCACCCAGTCAGTCTGGTTTGAATTTCAACTGGCTCTTTTTAATTAAAGTCTGGCTCTGTGCCACAGCTTCTGGGCGCTCAAACAATTCTTATGTAGCCTGACCAAAGGCAAAATCCCCCTGTGTGATAGTTTTATAATGATATGAAAAGGGAAAAGGAGCTAATATCCACTGTTGTGAACCTGTGTCTTGTTAGTGCTGTGGCTGATCCATGAACACACACCAATTCACTAGCTGATAAGTTTAACTAGAATTTATGTTGATTTTCTTGCTGTGTCGATTACAAACTGTTACTTGTTTATCTGCTGTAAGAGGTGAGATCAGTTCAGATGTGTGGGCAGTCAGGAGCAGTTTTTGAAGTGATACAGATACTTTCCTGCATTAAATATATGTGTGCAGTGCACTCACCATTTTCGGGGCTGTGTTAGTGACTTGTACTTGTTGTACTTGACTTTCCAGTCAAGTACATCCTTACAGTGTTGACAGAGCCCATCATGGATCTTCGATTTTGCCTTCTACAATTAGGATCACATAAACAGAGACATGGCTTTGTCAAAGGAAATGCATTATCATTGACAATACTGATGACAGAAGTCGAAAAGTCCCACTGCTCGAACAAAAAGTCTTAAATGTTCACACACCTTCACTTGTGCTGTCGCTCCGTACTTGTCGTTTTTGTAGGCGGTGGTGTTTTGATGCTTCTGACCTCGCGACCGAGACACGTTACCTTTCTGAGAACTCATCTTAGCTACCAGTTTTTAGTTACACATGTTATGTAGATTTACAAATCCAACAGCCATGCCAGACCGCGCACTAACCCGGAAGAAGTACGAATACGTCATGAAACGTCATTGAGGTCAAAACATGAACCATACACTTTTTCTTAAAAAAAAAGGAGAAAAAGGGTGATTAAAATGAATCAAGACAAATAGATGTTTATTGGAGTAAAAATAGAAAAAAAAAAAATCCAAACTCTCTTATTACATTTGTAAACACGCTTCAAAAAAGTTACAGGTTAATGACGTCACTTACTAGAAACACCTCTGTCGATACTGATTGGACTGTTCCTCGGAATAGTAATCTACTACTGGTTCTCGTAGACGTCAATCAACACATAGGTCACCACTATGCGGCGTCAACAAGGCACGCCCTTAAATATCAACACTTTCTGCCATTGGTGAATTTATTTCACCCAACGATTTGCTATTGGTCCGTGAAGATGTCGGTCACCGCCTCTCCTTACAAGCCAAGATAACAAGCAGAGTGATATTCACAGCGCTGATGTTTCCAAGGCAAGTAATACTGCTGTGAACTGCCGGACGGACCACTACGGACGTGTGACAAGAATTTCGTTTTTTTTTTTTAACCTTTACTGACTATGCTCATGTCGCTCTTGAGCTGTGTAGACTTGAAACCTTTTGAATGAATCGACCTCGTTATCATTCAGGACCATATGTTGAGAAAGCCGAGCGGAGGAAGAAGAAACGACAGTTTGGGGAGGCTGTCTGGACCGGAGGACGAAAAGCGGCTAGCTAATAGTAACTCACAGCTGTGGTGCCAAGAGGGATATCCACACTCAAAGTGACATCGCCAACAAACAGGACACGGAACAGAGGATAATCTGGCCCAGGATAGTCTTGTCAATCACCTGGCGTCGAGAAGAAGATAAGTTAGTTGGCTTGGTGCGAAGATAACACCTGACTACGGCGACGTTGGCAAACACTGTCACCTCAAAATAGAAAGAAACAAAACTAGGGTCCAGCCGCCGTCCAGGTAATGTGATCATTTCTACGTTCAGTTGTAATGAGAAACATACGCAGACTTGCATGTGAAGTGTTGCAGGCTAATTGGCCCATCACACTTTGCAATAAATTGTGTCTAGCCTCTGGAAATGAAACCTCCACAAACCAGCCTAGAACCACTGTAATCTCGCTCAACACATTGCTGCCTTCACCACCATTTTACAGCAAATCCCTGCTGGGCTCCATTCTGTCTGCATGGCTGGGGGATTATGGACTATTTTTGGGGAATATGGGAAGCAAATAGCGTCCATTATGTATTTTTGCCTCTGCGTGCTCCTTTGGCATGTCACAGCATCTTGCACAAGTAGCATTCATAGATTACCAGCGGCTATAAAAAAAAGTACTCACCCTAAATCATCTCTGATACAGCCAATTGCTCATATGAATGGTACAAGTAATTAAGATAAATTGAAGTCACCTGTGTGCAATCAAATTGGCACAAGTTACTTTTAGGTCAGCCAGTTTTCTTCTTAAACTATATAGTGTAGACAAAGTACCATTCCAAACAAACAAGGTTGTTGGAAAAATATATAACAGGAGAATGATGGACAAGAAACCCTTCCAAGACTGTGAATATCCCTCAGAGTAAAGAATGAACAATTGTGAAGGAATAAAAACTGCTAAGGGCAGTTTAGAAAACAAAGCATGAAAGAAGAATGCTGGCGGTGGAGGCCACCAAGATGCCTATGGCAAATCTATAGCTGCTATAGGTTTACTTTCCTGCTGGACCCCAGCTCCTAACATTAAGCCAGACCTGCACAACGATGGTGTCAAACAATGGAAATGTCATGGAGTTGCCATGAGAGTCCAGACCTTAAACTAATCAAAAATGTATGACAAGAATTGAAATTAGGATTACTCACAAAACTTGACAGAGCTTTAGGAGTTTTGTCAGTTAGATTGGAGAAAAAAATGCTTAGTATCACACTGACACATTCATATTCACATAGCCTCAAAGATGTAATTGCAAAGCTGTTATGGCAGAGTGTAATGCTGTTCTAGTACCTTAACTGGAAATACAATTCACCAAACATGGTCATAACCTGACTGTATGATCCATTTCTCCCTATGCAAAAAGGCCTGTGTAGTTCCCACAAAGATTCATTTGAAAAATGACTTCAGAAACTTACTGGACATTCTTGGACAACATTTTGTTATCTTGACGAACCAGCTTCAGTGTCACCAAAACAAGCTTTGCTGACATCTCCATTGCTGGCTAATGCAATTCAAAATCACCTGAAATATTAATATCATTATTATATCTTCATACATATATCCTTTTTATTTAAGATTCTCAGAGAAATCATTGAGGATGTCCCTCATTTACAATGATGCTGAGATTCCAGCATGTAAAATACAAATATAGTTAAAATAGTTACCATGCACTTATATTAAAAGCAGTCCTTCCAAGGTCAGTCTTAGCACGAGGTACCTAAAGAACAAGCCAATCACTGGAGCAAGTGAAATGTGGACCACGGTCCCAAATCAACATAGATGTGATGTATGATGGTAATTTTCCAACCAGGGCTTTATATATTTAGAGACACCAATGCTTATTGTGTCTCTTATTGAGAGAAGACGGACAGAGCGTATCATAGAGGATGAGTGTTGTAGCTATAACGAGTAATTACCTCAGGGCTGATGGGGAAACAGAATCTAAGGGTCTAAGAGTGGAGGCACCAGCATGTCCAAGATATGTCATATCCAAGAAGTAGCCTCAGGTGAGGGTCCAGCTGCAGGGTGAAACAAAAAAGCCTTCTATGTCAATACTGTCTGAGTGGTTGTGGAGCCTTGAGGCAGACAGACAACAAACACTCAATCAGGGTCACTGACTCTGTCTTAGCCATGTGCACTGAAGAAGGGAATTGATAGTATATTTTAAAAAATGACAGCAGCCTGAGTTCAGCCCCAAGTCCTGGAAACTCCCTGCTTTGCTACAAAGACAAGTGTTTATATTCTTGAGGAGAACATCATTCAACAGCTGTATGTCACAAATTTGCTCTTGTGGTGTTTTCCTTGTGATCAATCTGCAGGGGGTGCAGTGACAAATTGGTGTTTCAGTCCCAATTCAGAGATTTTATCCGTTTTCTCTCTCATTCTTAGTTCTCAAAGGCAATTCTTGCATTTAATCTACTGATGAAATGTGTGTGTTTCTATTTTAACCATTCTCACTCTCCCTGTCACAGTGTTTTGAGGATGAATCACTTATCCTTCAGCGAGCTATGCTGCCTGTTCTGCTGTCCACCGTGCCCTAGTAAGATTGCCTCTAAGCTGGCCTTCCTGCCCCCAGAGCCCACCTACAACCTCATGTGTGATGAGAGTGGCAGCCGATGGACACTGCACCTCTCCGAGCGCGCTGACTGGCAGTATTCGGCCCGGGAGAAGGACGCCATCGAGTGTTTCATGACACGCACCTCAAGAGGGAACCGCATTGCCTGCATGTTTGTCCGCTGCTCACCCAGCGCTCGTTACACGCTATTATTCTCTCATGGAAACGCAGTGGACTTGGGCCAGATGAGCAGCTTCTACATTGGCCTGGGTTCACGGATCAACTGCAATGTCTTCTCATACGACTACTCGGGTTATGGGGCCAGTTCTGGGAAACCCTCGGAGAAGAACCTGTATGCTGATGTAGACGCTGCCTGGCAGGCACTCCGGTCAAGGTAAGGAGAGATGATGATGGATGGAGGGGAAGATGGGGTGGGGGAGCACCTGCACACGAAAGGGAGGATGGAGTTATCGATTGGTATTGATGAATGCAGTAATACTAGAGTAACTGAATAGCATTCAGACCCTATAATTGATTTTATATAGGAATGGAGACGCATCCTATGTGCAAAGCACTCAAAACATGCTAATGAGTGACAGTATCTATACTTCAGAATAAAACCTAAATGGGGATGTAGATGAGGCTTGGCAAGCATTGCATGGTTTTGACTTGCATGCAGGAAATGGTGTCATAACCCAGGGCTTAAAGGGAAAAGGAAGTAGCATAACACAAGAAAGTAGGTGGGAAGTTCCTATTCAGTGAATGATGATAGTTCTATCCTAAATAGTTCTTGTAATTTTCCTCTACATATTGCAAGTCACAAATTAAGCCATCAACTGTGTAAACAGTGAGAAAAAAGCCATGTTAATAGCAACTCTGTTCATGTAATTTTCATGGACAGTTTTGCATTGGTAGTGGGAGATGATGTGAATAACAATAACAACCATCTTTCTTTGGTTTTCTCGTGCTGTGAATGTCTGCAGCTAAGGGGAAGTTTCACAATGTGCTAAATTAAATGGAGACCATTGAAATTAAAGCAGATTTAAAATAGAATGAGAGGAAACCAGGCTGATGTAGACTGATAGGGATAATCCCAGGGACATAAAAGCATAGCAAAAAGAGTTAAGCGTGATTTAAGAATATGTGAAGAGTCTACAGAGGGAGCTGGGTGGTTTACGTGATAAAACCACGGGTGGAGATGACGAGGAATGGAAGTTTAGTAGGGATGACACGATGTTCTTGTAGGCGATAATAAAGAGCTTGGTTTCTATGATTATACTGGCCAGCCATATGTAGGTGTGAGTGGGTGCTCTGCTGCATCTTTTTGCTTTGCAGCCTTTGAATAGACTGATTGTCAGTTTACTTGTACATTCGACTTCTACTGATTGGCAATATCTGTGTATTAGACTGTGTACTTATCATTATCTTTAAATTTCCAGTTGATAAAACATACTTATTCAGTGCTTCTTGTCAATGATATCTGCATTAATCTAAACCATAGCTTTGTAATGATAATGAAACAATGAAGGATCCCTGGACTTTTTACAGTGTACATGGCCTCAGGGAATTAGCTGTTGAATCCCCTTCTCTACTACACTGCATTAATTTATGGAATTGAAAAAATAGATTTACCAATAAACTCCTGGGAAAACAAATTTTCTTAATTTTGTGATCCTGATTTCTAAATACATTTTCTCAGCTTCAGTCCCTTCCCCCAGAAAAGGCCTTTCTACAT